CCCTCACCACCATCTGAAGCAGACCTGAAGCCTCAAGCCCGCGACAACACTGTTTTTCAGTTGGCAACAGGGCGGTGGTGTGGGTGGTAGTAGTACTGATAGTGTCAGGACTCAGTACTTGCGTGTGGTTAAGTGTAAGTCCACTCCAAGGGTTGGTCGGAAATGACAACCGACCCAAACGGGGATTAAACCCCCCAATACAGATACAACATTGGGATTTGATTGGATTGGCTGGGGCAATACTGATACCAAGTTCCTAGACGGCTTGGATTGGATTGCTCCAGCCGATCCTGATTGGCCAATAAATTGGGATTGGAGCGGGTTCGATCCGATTCTGATACACAGTATCGGGTGACATTTTGATCTAATCCCTGATAGATAACGATTGGGGGATCAGATCTGTTACATTGTTGCTCATATCTGAAAAGAATTGACCAACTAGAATTATAAAATTGTCTGTGAATAAGTCTAGTAATAAAGGAGAAATTCATACAACAGGAGGTACTAACATCACAAATATTATCTGTAATAAATATAAGATTCAATGTTTCATTGATGGAGGAGCATTCTGTTCTATAGTTAGTCCCAAACTATTAGACAAAATACTACCTAGCTGGAAAACAAAACTGATCCCAATCAAACCAGAAAAATTCTACGGTTGTAATAGTAAATTAAACCCTCTGGGAATAATAACTTTAGATATTATATTTCCTCATGCTAAAAATAACCTACAAATCACGGTAGAATTAATTGTAATGAAAGACTTCAGAATGAAATATATTATTCTGGGAAATGATTACATCATTAATTACGGGATAGATGTTATAAATAGCAATGGTAGATATTTTACTATCAATGGAGATTTATCCACAAAATTTGAACTTGGAATTACTGACAAAATGAACTTAGTACAATTAGAATGTAATGCTTTAGAAAATAATAATTTTGGTAATACTATTGAAGAAGCAAAAATTTCTGACACTTTGACTAAAGAAGAGAAGTCACAATTATACTCTTTACTTCACAAGAAGAAATTAGCCTTTGCCACTACTGATGAACCCTTTGTGCGTATAAAAGGACATGAAGTCAGAATTAATCTTAATACTTCTAGACCTTACCCTCCAGCATTAAGAAAATCTGCCTATTCAGTATCCCCAAGAAGCAGAGAAGCCTTACAACAACATTTAACTGACTTAGTAAAAATGAATGTACTTAGAAAAGTTGGTGCCAATGAGAATGTTGAAGTAACTACTCCTGTAATTATTGCGTGGCATAATGGTAAATCTAGAATGGTTGGAGATTTTAGAGCTCTTAATAATTACACAATTTCTGAAAGATATCCAATGCCAAAGATAAGTGAAGCTATTACCCAATTACAAAATGCTAAAGTCATGATACTTGGTCAAGTGGTGCAGAATAGTTTGCAAAAAATGAATATGAAAAAATAAAAACAAAAAACAAAGTTTCAAATTTTGTGAAAAATAAAAAATAAAATTGATTTTTTTCAAAAAGGTTTGATATTCATTTTGGGGAAGTGTGACTGCAGAGAGAAAGGAAGAATGGAAAACAGAAAGAATGATTATAAATGAAAATTTTGGAAAAAGTGGTTACCAGATAGTTTTAACCAGTTGTTGAGTGGGGCATTCACCAGCTCACATTGCAGTAAAGCACTAGAAATGAATTTACTGTTTTGACTCCAATCTGAACAACCAACCTGGCTCAACCTTTTTTGGTTCCAATTTTTTTTTCATATATAATCATTCTTGCCATGTTCCACTCTTTGTTTCTCTCAGCACTCCCACTTCCCCAAAATGAATAACAAAGCTTTTGGAACAAAACATTTTTATTAGGGGGTATCAAATATAGGAAATCCACCATTAGAAACCAGTCACTTTTTTAAAAATATTTTTTTGCATCAATGGGCCCCAAAAGGGGTTAAATGAAGAACCAACATTTTTAAAAAAGGGTGGATTTTTTCAAACCAGTCAATTAAATAATGGTGGATTTGGTTATATTTGATACCCCCTATTGTTTATTTTTTGCAAAATTTAAAACTTTGTTTTTTTGTTGTTATTTTTTAAGGGCCTTAATAAAAAACCGTGGTTTTTCCGCGTTTTGACGCGGTTTTGATGCGCCGCAGCACACGTGGTTTCCGCTTTTAGACGCGGTTTTTTAATTATTTTTTTACGGCTTATTTTTCGAGTTTTTTTGAAATTTTAAAATTTATTCCTACACTATGAAAGGTGTAGAATTTAACGGTAAAGTCCATTTTCCATAAAAATGAATTTTGATTATTAATTTTTTTTTTCCACTTATTTTTCAATTAATTGTTTGCATGCATGTATGTACCTTATTTTTTATGTTTTTTGGAAATTTTAAATTTATTTCCTAGGTTTCACTGTGCGTAGAATTTAATGGTGTACTCCAAATTTTTTAAAACTCAACGGTTAATTTTCAATACTGAAATTAGACACATTTTTTCACTTAAATTTCTACAGGTTAATTTTCATTCTTTTTGACAGTTTAAATTTTTTTTCCTACACTTTAATACATGCAAAAAATGATGGTAACAATTATTTTGCATCAAAATGAAAACTACATCTTGTATACTGCATTTGACACCATTTTTTCAACTAATTCTTCACTTTTTCACTTAATTGTTTGCATACATGTGTACCTTATTTTCTATGCTTTTTTGAAATTTTAAAGTTTTTTCATACATTTAAAAGTGTGTAGAATTTAATGGTAACATCCAATTTTCTTAAAACTCAACAGTTCATTTTTAATACTGAAACTAGACACTTTTTTCAATTAATTCTTTACATGTTATTTCTCACTATTTTTTGACATTTTAAGTTTATTTCCCACACTTTAATACATGATAAAAATGATGGTAACAACCATTTTACATAAAAATCAGCACTTGTTACTGAATACTGCAGTGGACAGGCTTTTTTTAATGTTTTTTTGATTGATTTTTACCGGCCTGATTTTAAGCATTTTTTTTATTTTGAATTTATTTCCTACATTTACAAATGTTTAGAATTGAATGGTGAAGTCCAATTTCACTCAAAATACAAGCTTCAATCTTAATAGATGAGCGTACCCTGTTTCTTGCATAATTTGTACCATATACAAATTTTATTTGAATGCAAAATGGATACAGCCATCAATTCTGAAACCTTTAAAAGTGTAGGAAATGAGCTTGAAATTCCAAAAAATAAGGATAATTGAGCGTGTAAGAATTAATTCAGGAAACACGTCAAAGGCATTATTCAAGATACAGTTTTCATTTTGATGAAAATTCATTGTTGCCATAATTTTATACATGTTTGAAAGTGTAGGAAACAAATTTAAAATGTCAAAAAATAATGAAAATTAAGCTCTTAAAAATCAATTGAAAAATATGACTAATTACAGTATCCAGAATGAATCGTTGAGTTTTATGGGAATTGAATGTTACCATTAAATTTTACACACTTTTAAATGTAGGAAACAACTTTAAAATTTCAAAAAAGCATAGAAAATAAGGTACACACATGTATGCAAACAATTAAGTGAAAAAGTGATGAATTAATTAAAAAAAACGTGTCAAATGCGGCATTCAAGGTATAGTTTTCATTTTGGGGAAAAATGGTTACTACCATAATTTTCTACATGTCTTAAAGTGTGGGAAATAAATTTAAAATGTCAAAAAATGATGAGAATTAAGCTGTAAAAAATTAAGTGAAAAAATGGGTCTAATTTCAGTATTAAAAACGAACCGTTGAGTTTTAAAAAAATTGGATTGCACCATTAAATTCTACACACATTGAAACCTAGGAAATAATTTTAAAATTTCACAAAAGCATAAAAAATAAGGTACATACATGCATGCAAACAATTAATTGAAAAATAAGTGGAAAAAAAAATAATAATCAAAATTCATTTCTATGGAAAATGGTTTTTACCATTAAATTTGACGCCTTTTATAGTGTAGGAAACAACTTTAAAAATTCAAAAAAACTCAAAAAATAACCCATAAAAAATTAATTAAAAAACCGCGTCTAAAAGCGGAAACCGCGTGTGCTGCGGCGCATCAAAACCGCGTCAAACCGCGGAAAAACCGCGTTTTTTTATTAAGGCCCTTTTTTAATACTCATTTTCTGGGACCTATTCTGCACCACTTAGTCTTCACCAAGTCTTGTGACTCAAAGTTTGTGCTTTGAAGCTGTAGAATCCTCCGATTAGGCACAAGGTGCAACCAAACAGCTGCCAAATTGGCCATGGAAATAAGCACTTCAAATAATCCCTGTGAGGTACATGTTGTGGTGGCTTTTCTCTTGGCTTGAAACAGCCTAATTATTTCTATCTGTGGTTGCACTTCAGCCAAATGATTTGCCCATGTTCGCTTCTGAATTTTCTTCTTCTGGCAAGATGCCATCAGGGTCCATACAAGATTTAGAAAAAAATATAAAGCCATCAATCTTTGCCCTTGTCTCCAGTAGCTCAACTGACATGACCCAATTAGTCCTGAATGCATCCAGCTCATTCAACAATATGTGAAACCTCCCTGGACTTGCTCAACGTGTATCAAGCAGGTGGACCGCGCAGAAGATATTGTCAATATTTTTGCTTTTGTTGGATCAACAAATGCAGGCCAAACCCAAATGAAGCTATGAGTGCTGGAGCTGATGTTGCCTTATCTGTACATGCTCGAGATGTTTAACAAACAGAGGGAAATATGAATTGATCTAGCTCCATGTTCTTGACAATTTTTAAACAAGCCAGACACGTTTTCCCCCGCTTTCATGGCCCAAATTGAAAGCCATATCTGTGCAAGTTGAAAGATGTGGCAACAGTGGGAAATTGGGAGATGCACTGTCTTCTGAAGATTGTTTAAATTATGTTTGCTTGTTGGGTCTAGTCATTGAACTATACAAGATTATAGCATACTAGTTCTAATGAGAACAAAAAAAAAATGGCTGACCTTGGAAGCAACAATGTAATCCGATAACAATTTATTCTCGCGGAAACACGGGGGGAGTTTCACAGACGGGACATCTGGGAGTTGAAATCAGCCAGCGCTGGGAGAGGGAAAGAAATGGGTGGGGGGGCAAAAAGTGGTGAGCAATGGTTTTGTGTGAGTGTGTTTGGTGGGGGGGAGGTCTTGAAAGAGTCAAAAAGCATACCTCAATACATCTGAAGTGGAAGTGGTGAGAAGGATTGCACGGGAGAGCAATCACAACATGGTGCTGGGAATAGTCAGAGTGACAGATTCTGCATGCCGCAGTTTCGCCATCAGGGGGGCTGGGCTCTAGGTCCAAGTGGTCAACTGGTGGGAGACGTTGCAAGAGTTCTTCAACTCCTTCTTCTCTATTGGTGGAATGAGGCGAATGAACCAATAGCTCGAACCGTTCCTCCAAAATATCTCTTAGGAATTGTCTCACACGCTCGGGGTCCATGTGACTCAGACGGCGTCCGGCTTGGTACACAGCTGGGGTGCGTATTGGCCGCATACGCTCGAAGACGAGTCTGTCCGCACGGGTACCACCATGTCGAAGGATGGCCATCTCGCTATTGAGATGGCGAAAGCCCAGATTAATTTGTACTTGGTGGCGCCGATTGAGACGTGCAAAGAGGTCCTCAATGGGGTCCAGAATTCGAGCGCATGGCACGGGGGGATCCTCCCAGGCATTCCGGAGGTCATTAGTCCAAACTACGCTGTGCCGTCGTCGGCGCACTTCACCATATACTAGGGGAGGCGGTAGGGCAGTGAATCCTGCATCTCGCATGGCGGGGTTATCACCCTCGGTGGAGGGATTCTCGTCAAAGCTGGTCTCTGAGGGTACCAAATGGCCATCTTCACCAGGAAGATCTTCATTCAAGTCACCAGGATTGGGATTATTCATTCTGGAGTTTCTGGTTGTTCTGTTGGATGAAAAGGGCTACGGCAGGGGCTGCTGGAGATGAATTGTTGTCGCGGGCTTGAGGCTTGGGGTCTGCTTCGGATGGTGGTGAGAGGCTGCCAGTGCCAGATCACTCGGTCTTCTTATACACCTCGTATCCCTTCAGGCTCAGCTGAATCAAACAGCAGTAAGGACCTTTGAGTGTGCGCTTTCGAGCCCACGCGGATTTTGAAAAGAACATTCGACGCGTCAGGCTCAGAAAAGTGTTGAGTTCTACAGCTATCAATTACTTTTTCGCAAAAAAGCAGTTTCCTTATTTGATAGATTTAAACTTCAAAGCAGGAAAAGTTCTGATGAGACCACACGTTTTGGTGGCACAGGTGAATCTCCTCTCGGGCTTGGGCTTGAGGCAGACTAACAGTTGAATTGGTACGATCCAACTGTTATTCGTTTGAGAAAATCCTTCAACAAGAAAATCACGGTTATTCTCTGTTTAGAAGTGCATCTGTAGAGAATTTCAAATTTACGTTCGTTGTTGATGATACTGACTGCTGAGCTATACCCCTACCCATCCGCAGGATAACCCCGACAGCTTGTACCCCGGACCCAAGTCCAGTGATTTCTTTTTGGTGGAGGTATTCGGCAGAGGGACCGCGCAGCAGAGATTGTCAATCGTCGAGCTTTCGGTAGATGTACGAACGAAGTCCAAACTCAAATGATGCTATAAGCGCTGTGGGTGATGTTGCATCTAGCTCCATGATCTTGACAACACTTTTTTTTTTTTTTTTTTTTTTTTTTTTTTTTTTAAGTGCTATTGATTTCACATACCGCACTATAAACTATGTGTTTGCTAAATACAACTGTAATCTATAAGTATAGTTCTGACGCCGCAATGCAGTATGCTTGGCACGCCTTCGAATTTGAACAACCGATATTTGTTAGTCGAAAAAGAAAAAAGAAGAGACCATTTAAAATAGACCCCATGAAGAGAAACCGGGAGACCGTCAATCCGAGAGAAGTGAGAAGAAGAAAGAGGAAGAAGAAAAGAGAAGAAGGAAGAAAAAGAGAAAAGCTTTCTAGGTAACGAATAAGGATATAGTAGACTAGCGTCTGAGGTCAAGGCGCCCCTCCCTAGTCCCATCCCACCTATAGATTGAACTTCGGCAGCAAAGTAGCCCACACCTGCGCCAGAAGGATTGACACAAACCAGTAGTAACCCCCTGTAATACTGATGTCGTCGCGGTCTTCAAGGGTTCGGGAGAGAAGCCTCTAACTCATCAGCATGTATGTACAAGTGGAGACAATTAGAGAGACTGTAGAGAGAAGAAGATATTCAAGAACTGAAAGGAACCAGAAAGAAATTATGGAAAAGTCGGAGAACGAGTAACAGATGAGAAACATAGTGGAACAGAGAAGAGAAAGGAAAGACCCGAACACTTAAACAAGCCAGGCGCGTTTTCCACCGCTTTCAAGGTCCAATTTGAAAATCATATCCGTAAGGGATATAATAAATTCTTAAGTTTTAGGCGAACACATTGCAAAATGAACGAGCAGACCAGTGAGTCAGATCCTTCATGTTGCACATCTGGCATTGATCAGAGTAGGAGGGACGAGGGGGAGCTACGCCACACAAGCCCAATATGCCTCGCCCACCAATTCAACTTTTACCAGACTGGTTCACTCCCTTTCAGCGCTTCTGCGAAGGAAGGTAGACAGATCAAGATTGCCTGTGGCATCGCTCACTCAAGTCACACTTTTTGACGACTTAAAAGGTCCCCCCCCCCCGGGTGGTTGGTAGATGAGGCCGCGGTTGCCTTTCAATCCTCACTAGTGTTCAAGTGCGGCAACAAAAAGACTTAGAGGGCAGCCATCAAACATTATCGAAATTTTGTTCGAAACTTGCTGTGATTATTGTGTATGATAACAATAGCATTGCAGGATGAAAAGTCTCTCTAGTTCAGAATCAGAAGTAAACAGCAGGAGTTTTGACGACAGTGAGTTCAATCTCGCGGAAACAGGACATCGACTTGACAGATCGGACAGTGTGCCACTTTGTTCAGAGCTCTCTGGACGAAAAAAAAAACAAGGGAAAAAAGATTGATGAATGGTAATTTAAAAGGTGTTTGGGATAGTTGAGGTAGAAAGGGGAAGAAGCTTACTCTGATACAGTCTGGGTGGAAGTGGTGTTCAGGGTGGCATGGTAGTACAGTTACCGGAATTTCGAGGTCGTATTCCTTCAGACAGAGTGAGCACCTTTCGATCCTGTTAGGATCAGGGTCTTCAGATATTAATGAGGATACAGGCTCTAGGCCAAGAGATTCCAGCAGCCAATCCACTGCTGTTGGCCTATAGCGGGAATGGGGGGAATGAAGATACAGGTCACGTTGGTCAAGTTGCATAGTTTGAACGATTTGAAGAATGGTCACCAAGTCCAATTCAACCAATTTCGAGATACTACGCTCGATCGCGGGTGTGGAGATGTCATTCTCATATTCATGCGAGAAAATGAAGTCCCTTGGTTGAAGGGGACCATGTAGCATCTCAGACATCTCGCGGTCCAATTCGCGAAAGTGTCGTGCGATGGTGGCTTGGTCCCGGGGCTCAAGTTTGTCTAGATATTCTTCCAGGGGCCTCAACACTGCAAGGCGGCGGGTGATGGGCGGGATTTGACGATAGGCGGAATACTTCGGGTCTTTTCGAAGAGCTTCAAAGCCCACGGCTGGTGGCGGGTGCTCACTGATCTCAGCCTCCGACTCGTCGTTGGTTAATTCTATACCAGAACTACCAAAAATGAGATATTCGTCCTCGGGCCCATAGATGTTGTCGGAACTGGCATGATGGTTCGCTGCAGAATTGTGCACTGGTGGGCTCATTTCTGGAGTAGTAGAAGATGGGCCACTAGTACCTTCTTCTCCGGGAAGATTTGCATCCAATTCACTAGGACTTGATCGTTGAGTCATTGCTGTTGTGATTTTTCGGGTGGATTTTTGGCTTGGAAGGGCTGTTTGAAGATTTTTTGTAAAAATTGGATGGTCCGCGTTTGTTTGAGTTTATTTCGCCGATTTGTTGTGAGGAGGGAGTCCCCTAGGCCAAGATGATTGCGCTTCTTTACATAACTCTTCAGGTTATGAAGCTGAGCCGAATCAGCAGCAGTGTGATGTCCGGAACCGGGACATCTGCCCGCTTGTCTTTTTTTTTTCTCTCTTTGTCTTCCGGAATAAGACGCGTCTTTCCGTATGTCTTCTTTGACTCCACCTGATTGTTATGCAAAGATCCCTCTGGCTCATTGCATTTCCTTATCCATCGCACCCTCGTGTTTCTATACGTGAACCACCTCGGTTCGTCGAGTTGTATCCTCAGATGAAGTCCCTTATTGCAAGTGCTCTTTGATCTGTGGCTAGAGGTCCGATGACGCCTGTGAATAGTGGCCATCGTGCTCGCGGAAACAGACTTCAACGCGTTCTCATCTCGCCTCACGAGCCAGAATTGCGTCAAGAAAGCACAGCAGGCAGACCCGTTGTCCTGATAAGAAGGTAAATATGACGCGTCCGATTAGGCACATTAAGGTGCAACCCAACAGCTGCCGAATTGGTCATGGAAATCAGCACTTCAAATGAAAAATTAATCGCTGTGATGAGGTATACGTTGTGGTGGCTTTACTCTGGTCTTGAAACAGCCCAATTATCTCGATCTGCGGTTGCACTTCAGCCGAATGATTTGCCCAAGTTCGCTTCTGAATTTTCTTCTGGCAAGATGCCATCTGGACGCATACGACATTTAGACAAAAAGATAAAGCCATCAATCTTTGCCCTCGTCTCCAGTAGTTCAACTGACATGGCCCGATTAGTCCTGAAATGCATCCCGGCGCATTTCGACGACATGCGGAACCTCCCCTGGGACTCGCTCAACGTGCTCACAACAGACCCACAGGGGTTTTTTTTGCCTTGCTCAGTCGACATCTGTGCGGTCATTTATGGCGAACAAAGAGCCTGTAGTTGTGAGAGTTGACAGATCCATCCCAACCCCCAATCAAGAGCTCCAAAAAGAAAAAAAGGTCATGGAACGGGTATAGCTTTTTTTTTTTTATCATCATCATGATCATCATCAAGAGCTCTTCGAACACTTCTTATAGTGCAGTCAGCAAGCACTTCTCTCATTCATTGATGGTCAGGAATCCACACACCCAGAAAACACCACATATATCTGTTTTGTACACTTATGTACCGATCCACAATCGAAGAGCTCGTCGGACACTCATCCCTATGTTCCTAACGCGCGACAAGAAACTCCTTCAAGTTTAACATTACAACTTGTTGCTTTTTTGACACATCAAAGCCACCACATTGTACAAGTCAATTTTGTTTTTTTCTAGGGTTTTGTTTTGTATAGGGAAGAGATATATGGAATCAGGTAACCGTACAATGATTTCAGGAGTTGATGATCTTGATAGAAGGCACAATGACCATTGCTCCAAGATAGATATAAAATACCCACAAAAATGTCGCGATGTAAGCAAGCACATATGTACCACCCGTCCAATCTTCCATTTTCTCGCATATCCTTCCTACACACATCCACATTGTATACCATGATGGCTTGATTTATATATATAGACGAGACCAAATATTTAAAACAACATGAAACAGCGGAGAGGGGAGGGGGGGATGGACGAATGAAAAGAGATTATAAAAACTTAATATATATATATGTTCTTCTTCTTCTTTTGAGTGTGAATGGCTAGGGAAAAATCAAACAATACTAGTAATAATAATAAGAAGAAGAATGTGAATATCAATGAACAAAAGAATGAGAATGAGAATGAGAAAGGGAGGAAGGGAGGGAGAGAATGAATGAATGAATGAATGAAGACAATGGTACAAAGTCAAAAAAAAAACTCAAATATTTGCGCTTTAAAGTACCAACCAGGAGTAAATAAGAACAGTGTTTCCCCTAACCTATAATGTTTATTGTTATTTATTTAATCTATATAAATATATATATATATATATATTTCTTTATAATGAACACAATATAACAGTAACGAAAAACAAAAGAGAAGAAGAAGAGAGAGAGAGAGAGAGAAAGAGAGAAAGAGAGAAAGAAAAAGGTCAGCCGGAAGAATCGAGAGATTTATGGGCAACCGGAGAAGCCCGTTGACCGGACTCGGCAGTAGAAGTAGTAGGCGTGGAAGTAGTAGAGCTCCGACGATCGGCTTTCGGGAAGGTGGATTGAGAGGGGGAGACGGTGGATGGTAATGAGGAGGAGGCGGCTTGGTCGGTCGGGTTGTCGATCGGGGCTGTTGAGTGGTAGTCGAAGATGTACTTCTCAACCGCTTTGATCCGTTCTTGTTTATCTTCTGGTAATCTGTGGTGAGAGTATTCAAAGTCAATCAGCATTTCCAACTTCTTAATTTTTTTTTCTCCTACAGGTTTATCTTTCAATCAACCTATCAATCGTTTTTGAAAGAGAGATTGAAAAAAAAACATACGTAAATTTAGGTTTCCACTCATCATCATCTCTGCACTCAAAAAACACGGGTTCCCATTTGAGTTCTTTCTCCTCGCGCAGTCTAGCGCGATCTCTCTGGAAGTCCTCGATCTGAGTCTTCGCGAGTGTTGCGGCGTCGAGGTCCTTCTTCTTGATCGCCCGAGTCACCTTCGACCAAAGCCGTCGGGATTCGTTCCAGTCTTGCTCCGCCTCGGGCTGGACGATCTTCTGAGTCACCGTGGCTTTCGAGGCATCGAAGATCGTTTCTGTCTTTCCCTGTCAATCAATCAATCCGTCAATCCAAACATCCCTTGGAGTAATCATCACCACCAGACAAAAAAAAAAACACTGTGAGATTGTTTGCCTACCTTCGTCCTCTTCAGCTCCATCACTTCATTCCATTTCCCTGAGATCTCTCCAACTATTCCACTCTGATCCCGCACCTTGCCACCGATCGCATTATAATCGCCCCCGAAAAACCCTTTCGTCTTGAACTCGACGTCGCAATAGATGTCATTGGCTGCAGTTTGGACGCGCGATTCATCACCCAACTCCAGAATCATCTTCCCAAACAGGATCCCACGGGCATACCTGTTGTTTCAATTTACAGATCAACTATTCACCATCATTTTCCGGCTCACTTTTGAATGAATGAATGAATGAATGAATGAAGGATGGATGGATGGATGAAATGTGCATACTCACATGTTAGGCATCGTAATCTGATAATGTCCGTCTTCCTCCCGGTCCACAAATCTTAGATGACTTACACCCTCCATGATCGTCGCCGCACTGTTCCCAAGAAACTTGCTCTTGGGCCGCAAATCTCCCCAGATCTCGATCTGGTTGGTCGGCGAAACATAGTAGAACGCCGAGATCGGCGGGTGATGCGAGACTTGCTCGGCAATGTAAAATCCTTCACTTCCGTCTGGATATTCGTATCTACATCTGAAAAATTCTCCTAGGATCGGATTATATCTTTTTTGAGAGAAACAAAAATAAGAGTATTAGACCAATCTTGAAGTGATGATGAATTGAAGTAGAATCCGCACGGTTTTTTGACTCCTTTAGGTTTGATATGCCATCCAGCGAGATAATAGCGCAAGACCTGGATGAATCTTTCGGTAGGATCTTCCTGCTGACTCACACTATTCATTGAAGTTGAGACTGAGATGAGCCAACACGCTTGAAGATGATTTTTTTTTTTGATCTAGATCAGCAGAAGAGTGATAACATACCCAAAGATCAGATCAGGATGACTTAAGAAATCTGTAATCCGCTCCAACATGCTTCTAGGTTCCAATACAAATCTGGATTGGTTAGCCACAAAGTTTCCAAATGATGTCAATATATTTAGTTTCCAATAATTTGAGTTTTTTTTCTTCCTGTGAAGCGGTTCATTCTTACGTGGGAAGGGTGACCTTGTGGAGATCCATTCCGACTCGAAGTTGAGAGATCAAAGCCAAGAGCATGTGTTTAGGTTCCTCGTCCAGGACCTCTTCGTCGCTAGCCTATAACGACGAACGACCGTGTGAGTCTTGTGATCCCCTTTTTTTCTTCACAGTCAGTTATAAATGAGCCTTCTGACCTCGTCATGTTCTTCCTGAGTTCCTGCAGGTAGAGACAGGGGATTTATTAGTATTGGGAGTGAAGAAGAGTTGAGGTGGTTGAGTAGATAGAAAGAGAGATTTGATGGTCATGAGAATCGGAGATGATTGTATTATTGTTATTATTTTCGAGATAGTGCTTACGATCGTTTGGCTGAGTGGTAGGTTCCTTAATTCCAGCCCTGGAAGCAACGGCAGAGAAGACGCCCATCATCTTGAGGAGGAGTGTGTGTGTGAGGATGATTAGAGGTGGTTCTGGTTGGAGTGCTTTTCGTGTTGTTGTTGTTCTTTCGTGAAGTGTGCGAGTGAGTGAGGATGTTGTGTGTGTGTGGTTGATTAATTTGTTTGTTTGTTTGTTGCCAGTTGGCTTGGCTGGCTTACATACTTCAGATTCCCACCCTTTTTGGGTATTCAATTCACTTGGCCGTATCTCCGACGTCCAGTCTGCCGCTGCAATGACTCCCCGCTCGGCGCTTTTCAACTCAACACTCAAATCTTCCTACACTTGACTTCTTGAATGGCCAGCCAGGAACGGGCGACGGGCCAAGAACGCAAGTTCATCAAAATCTGGTTCCTTCCAGAGACGGGCCATCCTTGTTTTCCAAACAGCATCTCCCTGATCACCAGACGCCCCTGTCTGAGTTGGGAGAGGGCCGACAGCTTGGTAATACGCATAGATTCTGTACTCAACTTGGTTAATAAAGGCTGTGCTTGAAAGCTAGATCATGATGTTGGTTAAATTTTTAGGGAAATCAAATAAAAGAGTGATCAAATTAATCATAAGACTCATGTCTCATACCCAACCATATTCTTTTACAATCAGTCAGAGCCTATGTATAACTTGTGATTTTATGAAATTTAACTTTGAAGACCATAAGTAATCTGACTGCAAACAAAAAAAAGAATGGCTATCATAACAGACATAATCATCTGATGATCAGGAGATAAATCTCTGGGTTTTATCCAGATTGTACAAGCTGGATCACAGACTGGAACAGATCTATCCCCTTGATGCCCTACTCAACAAAAAGCAAGCTGCTGCTTGAGACACTCTGTGAGCCCAGAGTTCAAACCAGTGGCTGCATATCTACAAGTACTGTGATCCAAAAGGCCCATCATACACACTCATGAATTGTTCCAATGGCCACATGCTCCCAATAATGTTGATCACACATATTTGGTATATATGTGCATGTGAAAATAAAATGAGATATGTATGTATATATAAATATTGATTGATGAACAGGAAACACACACACACACACAAGAGTAGTAAAACTCACACAACATGATCAAAACAGTAAGTAACAGTAAACAAAAAAAAAGTATAAAACAAGTGGACAACTACACTGAAATTTATATTGGAAGAGGAAAGAAATTTGATGACTTGATATGAAAAAATGAAGCTATTCTATGACCCCCCCTTGCCTGCTCTTTTTGTTTGATTGAATGATTTTCATGAGAAGAAGAAGACATGTTGGTTTGTTTTTGTGTGTGTGAGAGAGAGAGAGAGAGAGAGATTTGGAGATGATGATGAACATAGAAGAGAAAGAAAGTTGTTGATTGATCGGACTATCAAAAAAAAAAACTAATATACCTTAAATGATAATGAAAAAGATAAGGAAATGGATATGCAATTACACAAACAAACAAACAAACAAAAAATGGATAAGAAGGGAGGGCAGGAGAGTTTAGCAACATCCTTTGGAGTTTTGGAACCCAGGTTGGGCGACTGAGATCGAGCCATTGGCGCCACTTTGAGACGACCCGGCTCCACCAGCTCCACCTTCATCATTATTATCAATCAACCTTGTCTTGATATCCCTATCATTAGATACCATTCATGTTTGGATCGTCAGTTCATCTCCTATCTCGACAATCTTTTTTTTTTTTTGTTCTGGGCTGGGTTAGAGTTGGATTGGATCGAGGTGGAATGACCTCACTTACCGGGCAAGTGAGAAAAACGCTTCTTCGACATTCGTGTTCGCTTTTGCTGATGTCTCCATAAACGAAATCCCTAATTCAGCCGCCAATTCTCGTCCTTGATTCTCTTGAATAATCTAGTAATTTGTTTTGTGAAAAAAATGAATCAATTAAATGATGTGGTTTATTTGAAAATTCAAAGTTTGAAAACAATTTCTGAAAACGAAGTGAAAACGAAAGCGGGGTGGGGGTACTTTTTTCTCAACAGAGTCGGATTTGTTTCCGATCAGGATTTTGTTGACTCCTTCGGATGCATGTTGATCGATATTTGAATGCCAGTTCCGGATATCTTTGTCAAGTAAGTAAGAACCAGAAAGTTTGATCAAAAGATCATAATGAGAATGATGTTAGTATAGGGGAGATGAAATAGAAAGAAAGACAAACAAACTTTCGAAAGATTTTTCGTCTGTTACATCGTACACGAGCAAGATGCCCATCGCTCCACGATAATAGGCCGTAGTAATCGTCCTAAATCTTTCTTGGCCTGCCGTATCCCACTACAAAAAAAAGTAACGGTTTTCTTGGCTTAGTGAGTCCGTGAGACAGGAACGATCGGAGGGGATGGAGCAGGCTGAACTATTTGTAGCTTGATTCTTTTGCCATCTAGTTCGATCGTCCGGATCTTGAAATCTATCCATCAGAACCGAAAAAAAAGGTTGATGATTAGAACAAAGAGATTTCACAAGAATAAAGCCCAGGAAAGAGTGGGGCTACAGAATGAACCAAGGCGTACCTATTCCGATTGTGGTGATAAAGCTAGGCGTGTAAGCGTCATCACAGAACCTCAAGAGCAAGCAAGACTTTCCAACGCCTACATAAATACACATGTGCCACAAGAGAGATTATCATCCAGCGGAGTCAGCTTATAGAACGCAAAGTGATCGAAGCTGGGGATGTGGGGCTGCAATATCAAGGAAGAGACTGCTGACCTGAATCACCAATCAGTAAGAGCTTGATCTACAGATGCACGTTTCGGAAATGGAGCGCGGAGGACATGGAGATGCAATACAGAAAAAATAAGATTCAGTTGATAGGGTCAGTGTTTTATGTTTGTTTGTTGACCGTTTTGGAGTTTTGGAGCTCCCTGAATGGACGCTGGAGAGATGGCCGATGTGTGGATGGACTGACGAGGAAGTCATAATGAGGATTGGCCGGCATCGTCCTTGGGCCTGTTCTTTATAGGTGGTAGTTCTTGCCCAAGTTTCTTGCTGTGGTGGTGGTTTGTCTGATCGGTTCTTGGTGGAGTGGCTGGAAGGAGTGAAGATATTCTCTTGTTCGATCGGTTCTCCTTCTAGAGTATATGTATGGATGTTTGTCCCTCCGTTGTTGATGGTTCTGCTGGATGTTTGTTTGTGTTGAAGTTTGATGGTGAAGGACACTTTGGTAAATATTTTTTGAATATTTGTGTTATATGAGCTGAGGCTGTCCGAGGCCGTGTATCTAAGTGCATACTGCATGTATGTGGATACGCAGAGGAGATTTTATGCTTTTGTTGTATAAAGGGCATCTCAGCTGAACTATGGGCACTTTTGGCCTACATAAATCTTAACCAGTTTTCGGCTTCAAGTCGCCCGATGGAAGCCCAGAACAAAAGAAGGGCACAATTGGTGGATGTGGTCGGGGCTTCCTAATCAAGTCAACAACCATACAAACGGAAACCAACACCCAGATCTTCCGCAATAAGGAAACTTTGTTCACCCCCCCCCCTCCCGGCACCGAACAAACTTGAGCCACGAACTCATGTCGATAAATTATTAATGCCCGACAGGGAAGACAAAAAAAGGCTCACAGAGGGAAAGCTCTAGACTTTTTAGTTAGATCGGCCAGGTGAACAACAAATCAGCGATCGAGCTGGGGTATCCTCAGGCTCCAAAAAACCACCCGACAATCCGACCTGCGTTTGCTTCCTTGAACATGTATAAACAGACATTGCGGCGACATCAACCAGAAATGATTATCATACTTATGCTCAAACCCGGAACAACTTGAATATCTTTGAATGTCACCAGCTCATGAGCCATTGTCTGGATTGACAAGACCTGATTGTTTTTTTTACTTCAAGAAAGAGTGGAAATTCTCACCCACTATTGTTAGCCCAATTACAAGCAAATGTGGGTTCATGCCATGGAGGAGATTTTGAAGCTCAAAATCATTGGTCCCCTCCTCACACCTGGATGTTGGACATGGGTGTGTATCTAACCCATGAATGCGTGTCTATCAACATCCCTCTCCCGGTGTTTGTTTTGAGATTTTTTTGGTGATTGTCTCAAAAGCAGATGGCAGAAATGAGACCTCTTAGCTTGATGGCTATGTTTGTCAAAAACATTAGGCTTGGACCAATCACCCCTTCCTATTTTTTATTTCCCAAATACACATTTATATTGTCCAGAAAAAGTGGTTTTTTGGTCTGCACACATTTGATCAAGAGGTCAGCCTTGTGAGTTCCACCTCACAGGCCTGTATACTGAGTGGACAGAATAATCTGAACACCTGAAAACTAGTTTTATGGGACTCAAGGTTAACACCCTTCTTTTTTTGTTGAATAGGGGGGGGGGGGGGGAGGGGGTGCAACAATGAGAATTGAGAAAACTGAATTCCCAGTTAATAGAGCTCCATTTCACGGTGGACAAAGGTAGAAAAAAACAACAAGAAATCTTGATTTTTTTCAAAATTGATGAAAGAAATAGGATAAAAATGGGGGGGGAGTCTTGAGGCATTCAGAAGAAAGATGAAGGGAGAAAATACAAGAATAAAACAACAACAGAGTTGTTTCTTTACCTTGAGGGATCATTGGTACCCACTGAGAATTGAGATCACAGCAAGATTTCCAGAAATCTTGATTCTTCTCCAGAAATCCTGAGTGACTATTCTTGAGTGGAGAATGGTTGAGCTGGTGCTGATTGGGCCTGGTGGTAAAGTGATGTGGTCCAAAGATGGTCAGTGGTCAACGGGATAACTGTACCCAATCTGTCCACTCCTGTACCTTGACAGAAAATACTGAACCCATGCCTGCTGAAATGTTGTGGAGGGATTCAATTATTTCTGTCAAGGGGCTATATATTAGCCTGTATGCTCATTTAAATACAGCAATGCTACTCTAGATGCAACGTTCCTGCTTATTGACCACAGGCACCAGTTGTCAGCATCTGTGTAACTAACCTGAGGTATGGTTTGGTTCACTAATAATCATGGTAAAATTAATTGTTGATTTGATGCTACTAGAATTTCCTGGGGGTAAAAGGTAGGAATCAGGTCTCCTTAAATATTCTGCAGAGGTCTCAGGGGAAGAAGAGAGGCCCTCAGGGCACTAGGGAGCTTCTTATCTTTGCAAATTTCAAAAATTGTACATAATGATTGATTTTCAGGTTTGTATAAGTGGAAATAGGTTGTGCTTCTGTGAGGGTTTGGTTATTCAAAGCTAAGCGGGGCAGTGGAACAGGCTCACAAGCCTTCAAAGTTTCTAGAACCAAAAACAGGGAGCTATCTTTCAAAAACCAGACATTAGAGAGAGAGAGAATCCTGTAATTGGATGACCTCAAAACCAACAAAGGGAACAGTGTAAGGATAAGAAGAGGAATGGAATAAAAGAAATCAGGATTGAACTGAGTACAACCAAAACTGAAACTGAGACAAGTTCTGTTTTTTGTTTATGTGTGAATTGTACCTGTTTTGAGACTGATGCCTGGTATCAGTATTTGCTTGGTTGGTGATAAAATCCACTGTCTTGGATTTGTCATGACCCATGCAAAAAAGTCTCTGTTTTTTCATTGATACAGCCAGATATCATGTGTATTTGAGAAATTTTTGGTAGGATCATCCCTCTGAGACAATACACAATACTTGAATACGATATGTGTGTATTGTCTCAGGAAATTGAGACAACACAAGGATTGGTATTTTTGGATATTCAAATTCCGAGATCATACAAATAAATGCCTGATACCATCTTGTCTCCTCTCAGTTTCAGTGTTGGTACAACTGAGCTTAGTTTAATGGTTTGTGAAACCCATTGCAGGAGGGGGAATTACAGCCTCTTTCAGGAAAACAAGGCTTTTGAAGTTTCAAAATCTGAAACAAGTTACTGTTGCCCCAACCTGTAATTACTGATTTGTTTACATGTTTGGATGAGTGGAGGTGGCTTACGCTTGTTTCAAGGGAAAATTGCTTGCAAATTTCAAAAGCTGGAACAAGTTTCTAAAAACTGTTTGGAGCATGTGTGATTTACTTTAGCTAGAACTCTGGGGATTGGGGTTATAAAAGCAAGCTTCATCTGAGACCGTCAATCTTCCAAATTTTGATTTGACATTTCTAGATTTGCCTGTGGCTTGACCCATTCTAATAACAATATTAAATATATTAACATATTTTTGTGATGCCTGTATATTTTAAATTTCACCAAAGAGGCTTTCTGGCTTTATGTATCTTGAAGGCAACTCAGGGAATTCCTGCATTTATTGAACATGGAAGAGAAGGTACTAAATTTATTTCATATTCTGGAAGTCTTTCTCTAATGGCTTTGGTGGATTCACAATTGATGATTTATGTTTTGCCTCCCATAAAATCCTTACAGCTCTGCCTGGAATGTCATCAAGTGATACACCCATGGTTATCAATCAATTCAATTCATTGCCCTTGGAACACTCAAGTTCCATGGAGGTTGAACCTCAAAATTCTATCTTTCAACATCAACCAATTGTTGTGGAAATGGAAGATGGAAAATCTGCAAATGACATATCAAAAGAGATAGGTAATCTGATCTATCTGTATAAAATTCCAAAATTTATTGAACTAACCTATCACCCTTTTAGAAAAATATGACATTAGAAGAGGAAGGGATTCAAATAAAGGTAAGATTTTTTTGGAGGTTTTCACTTTCAATAATCTAGGTTCATTGAAGCTTTGACCTATCCTCACTCAACAGAACTAATTGAGACAATGGCAAAGGAATTAAGGTCTTGGAGGTACAGCTTGGCAATAATTGGAGGACAAATTTATGCAAATCTAGGGGAGTCAAGTTTTGAAAATCTCAACTTGAAAAGTGACTTGGAAGCCCTGAAATGCATTGACAGACTCATTTCAATTGAGCTGGAGAGCAAGATAATTGAATTGGGTGGAGACAGCTTTACCATTGCTTCCTTCAACGATATAAACTTGAGTGAGGAAATTAGGTCTTCTTTCAACTATCATTCACCTTTTGGAATCAGACAAAGTGATAACAAGAGAGAAAGAGGAGAGGAAATTTACAATACTTCAACACAAAACAATTCACAATTGAGGAAGACTCCAAGGAAGTTCAAGACAGCTGGAATCTCAAATCATATATTCCAGGGGAAACCTACTGAAATTTTACAACCATCAACAATTTCTCAATATTCTTTTTCAGAAAATCATCAATATGGGGATCTTTATAGTTCAATTACCACCTATTTAAAACAATAATGTTCTCAATCTTATTTGAAAAGTTTCAAAGTAGATTTGGTTGGGATTCTGAATGGTATATTACAAAAGATTGGTACATTCAGAATTAATGAATCATTTTATTACTCAATAAATTTCACAAGAGAGGCTTTTAAATTGGATAAAATCATATTTGAAATGGTAGATTACATGGGCAAATATGGTTTGATCCCTATTGAAGATTACAGGCTGTTCTTACAAACCAAAAACACACTGGAGATTGCAGTCATCAATATTTTCTTTGGGCCTGTTGTGAAATTGGCTAATCAAGACTGGATGCATTACCCAAGTAGCTACATTTTTTCCATTCTGCAAAGAGCTTCAGGCTTTAAAGTTTACAGGAATATTTTCAAAGGTAAGAAAACTGCAGTGAATTTAAATCCTAGTTGCTCTTTGACACTGAAGAACTGATATACAAAAATTTGCTTTATTCACTATTGAAACAAGCTCTGAATGAAGAAGACAGGAAAACTATGACTTTCATGTTCCTTCAATTATGCTTCTTGAACCACAATAAATTGCACCCACAAGTTGATCTGGGAGAAGTTGAAGGGTAATTTTCAAAGTTAAACAATTACATCTTCACAGGCAGTACATTTTTGGATATTTCAGAAAGACAGAAGATAATAGTAGAATCATACATGAAATCACCAGATAATAATATGCATGGATATTTTGAACTAACTGAAATAGCTAGATCACTTCAAAGAGTATGCAATCTTTTCATAAAAATAGGCAATGGGCCAAGCTTGGAAGGAAAGGAATTTCACTTCAGATTTATGTTCTTGCTATTGGATTTTGTTGCAAGAAATTATGGTCCAGAATTGCTTGTGGAATATAAAATAGGGAGTGAATTCAAGTTGAAGTTTGATTTGATGTATTCCAGCAATGATTTAATGGCAAAATTGGACCAGATTGATGAAGTTTTGAAGAACAAAGAAACCATCACTCCAGAAGCAGCTCATCAAATTTTTGACCAGATGAACAATATTATATCTCATAACCAAAGTATATCAACTTCTCTCTCAAACTCTGAATAAAAATTGGGCAACTATTACATGCATGAACATATAAAACATAGAATAATGCAGGTTGGACCAAATGTCAGAGATTTAGAATCAAAATTCTCTCAACAAATTGCTTCAAGATAATTAAAAACACAAAGTTTATGATGAAAAATAAACTTGAATAATAAGACTCAAAGTGGAAATAATGAAGGGACTAATCAATAGTTCCTTTCTTGAAATTCCAAGTCAAGCCTACATAGGATTTTTAAACTATGAAGTCTGTCAAAACTTGTCATATTCTGCATTGATACCTAAATTACAAATATCTTCACATTTTCATTATGTGCCCATTCCTTGGAATGTAGAAAGATTTCTTGTGGTATTCTCCTTTCTGGCTTAATTTAATTTCACCATTCTTTTTTACTTGGAATGTCTGACTTCTCTTCAACTCATTCCTTAGTTTTTTTTTTGGCTACCTTTACTTTGTCTTTAGGGTTTTCAGTTGTCATTTTTTTGGATTAATAATGTGATTGTTGGATCTTGGATCTTTTTTGTTTGGTTTGTTTTTTTGGAATGTTCATTTTGTTTTTTATATTCTTCACATTTGTCATCTAAATCCCACAGTCCAAAACAAAATGAAATAGTGCCACTAGGGGGTATCAAATATAAGAAATCCACCATTAGAAACCAGTCACTTTTCCCAAAAAAAATTTTTGCATCAATGGACCCCAAAAGGGGTTAAATGAAGAACCAGAATGTTTAAAAAAGGGTGCATTTTTCAAAACCAGTCAATTAAGTAATGGTGGATTTGGTTATATTTGATAACCCCTACTATCTTTGATTTGAAACCCAATGGAAGCATGAGCTGGCTCACCCAGCTGACTGGAGCTATAAATTTAACTATGAAGAGAAACATCTCTGTAGGGAGCCCTACACCCTCTGCAGATGATGGTGTGACCTAAACCAAAGGGGGGTGGTCCACTTTTCTTGGCTTCTATTGTGGCCTACAACAGCACCTATGTTTCTGTAGTTTGAATGGTCTGTATGAGGCTGTGAATTTGCACACCCAACAGGTTTTGCATCCAATCTGCACTAAGCCCCATCCCCTGATGGGGGTTCAGGCCCCAGGGTCAGGTTTTGGGAGGCTAGGCTTAGGATGTTAGTGTATAATTTTGAATTAAATTTCTCAAAAATTATGAGCATATGGAAGAAGGATAAGGAATAAGAAATAGGAATAAGAAATAACAAAGTGAGATCAAAAGAATAGAAAGAGCAAGAGATAGAAACAAAGAAAAACAGATCAGTGTTTGTTGATGAGAACATGTAATTAAGAGAGTCATTTAATTCCTCACCAACTTGAGAGATGGCCTGTAATTGAAAGAGGATCTTGAGATGTTGATGTTTTTGATGAGTTGAGGTCAAGAAACCATTAAGATAGGTGGTAAATAGAAGGGCAAGAAGGGGGAGCAGAGGAAGAGAGGGAGAGAGAGAACAGAGATTGATGCCGTGCCCGTAGGAAAGGAAGTGAAGTGAGGAACAAGAGACTCAAGAGACAGCTGAGTTGACTAGTTTTGGATCAGGGATATTGAATTGGTGTCAAAATTTGAGACCATGGCATTGAGGTAGAGTGTTGGGAGCCCAAGGTTTAGGAGGTGATTTCAACAGTTACAGTTAGGAGCTTATGGTGGCCAGGCAAACACTGAGTTTTTTCATTTTTCCCCAGCTTGCATAGCTCACGGCACCCAACTCATACATACTTCTGTATTTTGATTGACCAAGGTGATTACAGTGTGGAAACACTTTCCAGCTGACTCTTGACATGTTCCAGCCAAATTTCAAACACTTGATTCTGACTTTTCATAGTTTGATAGATGTAATCCTATTGATGTTAATACATAGCCACCAGAATCCCAGAACAACAGAAGAGTACAAAAAACCACTGAGTTAATGGATGGTTACAGTGCTGCCTGATCTCTTTAAACCCAGAAAAACAATATGAATCTTCTTCAAAAAGTGTCCATCTAGCACCAAGCTTGACCCATGACCAATAGCCATGTTGAGTACATAGCATACAATGCAATGTAGAGTTGCAGAAGGCTGGGAAAAGGCTCACATTGCAGCTTCTGCCAATGCTACAATTGATTGACCCCACATATATGCAATCCCTTCTTGATTTCCTACTACATCTACACGTTGTGGATACTTTGAACAACTTGAGGAAGTATTTATGTATCATCAACCAATCTTTCAAGATCTTATTGCATAATTTGGTCTATCTAGATGAAAATCAAATTTTCACAAATATACACCAAGTCCATGAAATTAAAAGGGAAAAGACACAAGTCAAAAAGAGGTGGGGGGGCTGGTTGAGAGAGATCGAGTGTGTTTAATAATCTCGGGGAATCAAGGTGCGTGTCTCACAGATAGGACAAAAGGGCCTTTTGCGCAATTGACGCTGTACGAGACAACAAGGGAAAAAACAGGGGGGAGAGAATGACAACAAGTGAGTAATTTCGAAGGAAAGAGGGTGGTAATGAAAAAAAAGGCTTACGTGGATGCAGATGGGATGAAAGTGATGAGTCGGATTGCAAGGAAGGACGACGGCGGAGGTATCTGGCGGGTATTTCATGAAGCAAAGGGAGCAATGAGGGGTTGCACGATGGGGGTGATTGGGCAACAATTCGGACAAGTGGGTGAGTCCGAGTCGGTCCAAGAGGACGTCTAATGCGGCTCGTCGATCAGCGGAATACATCGAATGGAGCCGCAAATCATGGAGGTCGTCGCGCAGATTCTGGCGGAAATGTTGGAAGCGGAGGGGGTCCAAAGCCTTCAACTGTTTGATAGCAAGATCGATTTCTCCGTCGGCTCGGGCCTCCCGAGGGTGCTGATCCTTCGGCGTGTTTTGCTCCGTGGGCCCAACGACCAGTCGGGAGAATATACAGTCGATGATACCAAAGTATTGGAGGACCAGCGAGCGTTGTCGAGCAGAGAGACGGGCGACGAGATCTTCAATCGGAGTCAAAACTGGAAGGTAGCGGTATGTGAGGATCAACCCAACTCGGGGAACAGCCCGTCGACCGGCAGCAGACGGCCTGCTGGGATTTGGATCAGGTGCTCTGATAGCCGGCCCATTCCAGTGGGCTTGTTCTACGTAGAGTCTTTCTAGTCGTCGGAGCACTTGACAATCATCTACTTCAGATTCAACCAGAATAGATGAGTTTTCACCACGCCGAGCGGGGTTCATAGCCCGGCGGGCTCTTTCAGAAGGACGCTCTGATACTACGGCCGGTGCCTGACCGGCGGTGCGGCCTCCGGGGCCTTCTTCTCCAGGAAGATTCCCATTCAAATGAGTAAGGGCTGACCGACGAGACATTGGTGTTATGCTGGTCAATTGTTTCGCTTAGAAGTTAGAGCGGCTGTTTGAACAGTCCGAGGATTCGAATGGTTCTCGAGGTCCTTGAATCTCTGATTGATGTTTAGATGATGATGGACAGAAAGCCTCCAGCACTCGTTAGCTGGCCTTCATATATCCCTCGGGTTCCTCCAAGCTGAGCTGTTCCAGCAGCAATGATCAGGCCCTTTGAGTGCCGAGCGCATTCATAAACAACGGGTAATGTGTCGGATGCTAAGGATCAAATGAGTGATGAAGCGAACTTAGCCTCAGGCATAGCTCGACAACACTTCTCTTTGTCATCGAAATTCAGCATCGCCCCTTTTGACACATATCCCTTTGAAGAGTCAGAAAAACTCTCTAGCGATGCGCCGGAAGTCAATGGCACAAGGGCATTGTCTCTCAGCTTTCAGCACAGCTATGTCAACTCAGTTTCCTTTATCAACCGACCGTTCTTTGTTGTACCGGCTCAATTTATCCAACCAGTACAGAAATGAAGAAAAGTTCGATTTTATTTTCATCTGGCAAAAAACCCATTTTTTTAGTTTGAATTTATGAGAAAGCAAAAAAGTGTACAGACAGCAGATCGATCATGTACAAACAACAAAGATAAGAGAAAATGCAAGGAGAAGTAGAGCCACTCATAGCGAGAAGAGATACAAACAATCAATTGTGACATCACTGTGTACTCATCATCATAATGTAAACTAAATATATGGAAGTGGAACAAATCAGCATAGATTGAAGGAAGAAGAACAAACACGATATAACAGACGACAAGAACAGATTGCAATAGATATATGTAGCATGGTCAACAATGTAAAAATACATACACGCACAGTGTGAACGAGAAGAGACACCATCTCCGCACAGCTAGAAAGTGAGAAACTACTCCGCCTTCCCCTGCCCCAACCCGAGTGACTTGGGATATTCTTCTTCTTCTTTTTTTTTTCTGGCGACAAGGAATAAAGCTCCCTTATACCATTTTGCCTTTACTAGATTGTTCTCTTGGTTTTTTTTTTTTTTTTGAGATCTGATGATGGATGATGATGAAAGAATAGAAAGAAAAGAAGCCGATTCTTCAAGCCAAATAATGGAACTCATCGACACTAAGTCTTTCCAAATAACTACCCCACCAACCACCCAACCAAAAAAAAAAGTCAACACATCACAAGAAAACCCCAAACAAATTTCCACATGAAAAGAAGAGCTTACTCTCTAGAGATAAGGTTCTCGATAGCCAATTTGACGTCTTTGACGTCGACCTGGAACCGGCTTTTCAAGCCCTCGATGACCTCGAAGAGGAGCGGATTGAACTTAGATTTCTTGCGCGATTTCATGATCCTGACGATCGATAATTGGATCAAAGTAGCGCGATCCGTCACCACTTTGTCTCGTGTAGAGCTTCGCTCTTCAACCTGTATTCAAGACCCCCCAAAAAACGTAAGTATTTACTCAATGTGGAAAGGGGGGGGGGGCGGAAGGGAGAAAAGGGGTGCGAGGAAGATACGCACGGTCTCTTTGGATTGGATTTGGTTGATCTTGATCTTGAAATGCTCGTCCTTGAAGTTCGAATTAAACGTGAATCGATCGGTCTTGGAGACCTCTTTAGACTTCGGATTCTTCACCAACACTCGAACCTTTCCACACGCCAAAGATTGTAAAGTTCTAGCTGCGTTTCTCATCTTTTTTTTTTGTC